GACAGGGGCAGATTTTGTGCAAAGTCAGAGAGTTCCCCTACAGCCATAGTCACCTCCGCACACCTGACACCCCACTGCCTCATTCCCCACATTCCCTTCTTGGAATAACATCCTACAGTAAAGTCTCTCTTTACCGAAAGCTGGTTGTTGTTTCTGTTTTGTCTTGACAGTTGAGCATTCCTCCCACAGTAATTGCCCTTCTACCATATTGCAATACAGTCGTCTCTTCCTCCCGCACCCCCCCCCCCGTTGCAATAATTTTTTTCAAAAGAAGTCTCATTTGCCTAAACCCAGGTTCCCAGGTTTGTGTTTTACTTGACAGTTTTTAGGGCCAGGATGCAAATGAGATTGGGCCTTACTATAGACCCCTGCCATCCCCACCCAGGTAAAGGCACCTGGGGAACCTTTCCAACTCTTCTTCTGTGCAGTGATTGGTTCTGGGACCCTGTGGCGAGTTCTACTTTCAAACCAGTGCTCCAGAAATCCTGTCCGCTGAAGCCTGCGCTAAGGAGTCACTTTGATTCCTTCCTGCAGAGGCTTTCTTTGGCTCTTATATGAGGCCTCTTTTCTTTTTTTCTCTTTCTGTTTTCTTCCTTCTTTCCATCCTCTTTCTTTCTTCTTTCTCTCTTCCTTCCTTCCTTCCTTCCTTCCTTCCTTCCTTCCTTCCTTCCTTCCTTCCTTCCTCTCTTTCTTCCTCTTGTCACAGCACCATTTGATAAAGAGAGGATTCTTCCCTTGTCAAAAATCAGTTGACCATAGATGTATTGGTTTATTTCTGGACTCAAAAATTCTATCCCATTTATTTAAATATCGATCCTTATGCCAGTATCATAATGTTTTGATTACTGTAGCTTTGTAGTAGGTTTTGAAATCAGAAAGTGTGAGCCCTCCAACTTTGTTCTTTTTCAAGATTGTTTGGGTCATTCTAATAGAGTAGGCAGTAAGACAGACATGAGCAGAGCAGGAATGATAGGCCAAGTATGGAATGTCACCAAGGTGGAAAGTTGCAGGTGCCTAGCAATGGGCAAAACTGGGAAAATGAGGATTATAGGCTAGGACCTTACTCCCAAGGTGACCTTTCCTCCCCTATATGTGTATAGTCATTCGGTTTGGACCCCTGACCTTCCATATTGCTAGTCTTGCGGCTTAGACACTCTGAGAGGAGGAATAAGGGGGCTGGAGAATGGCCTCATAGGACTCCTATACAATCCCTTGCACAACTGCTCCCTTAAGCATCCAGCCTCCAGGACAATGAGGCTCTGGCTTACATCAAATAATCTTAGGAATAAAGCCTTGAGTCTACTGACCACAGAGAGAGTTTTGGTCAAACTAGAGATAACATTTAGACCTCAGTTGTGTTTCAACGCCAGGCCCAGAAAAGCAGCAAAACCAGATGAAGCAATGCCAGGGCTGACATCAGGGCCAGGACTGACATCAGGACCCGTTGCAATGACTAATGACCCTCTACCCTACTGCCAACCAATCAGTAGAGACCACAACCCTGAAACAACACATGGGGGAAGCTGATGAATATTCTATTGAGGTGCTCCCTGAGAGTTTCCCTAAAATCCCTGCCTTTGGAAAACGGATAAAACCTTAAAATGACATAGAGCACATTCTCATTCTCTCTCTCTCTCTCTCTCTCTCTCTCTCTCTCTCTCTCCTGAGCCTTTCCTCTCTTCTTCTTTCAGGTGTGTTTTCTTTCTCCTAAGCTCCAGGGGCCCTTCCTTTGCCTCTGTACCTTGTTTCCTGAGTTCATGTAGCCCAGCTGGTTCACTTCTACCTCTGTGACTTTCTAAGTAAATTTCTTACTCCAGAGAACTTGGCTCTGAATTCTTTCTTAGCTGAACTCAAGGACTGAGGGCTAACTCTGCTGTTAACAATTCCAGATATCTTACAGTTAGGATCAGCTCTTCCATTTCTGTAGAACAAGGCCTTTGGGATTCAGATAGGGACTGCACTGAATCAATAGATCTATTAAAGGAATATTGACATCTTAACAACGTTAAGTTTTTCAATCCATGAACATGGATGCCTCTTTCCATTTAGTTAGGTCTTCTTTAATTTCTTTCAGCAGTATTTTTTAGTTGTCAGTGTACACATCTTATACCTCCTTGATCCTAAATATTTTATTCTTTTTCATGCTGTTGTAATAGGAATTGCTTTCTTAATTCCTTTTTAGATTTTCCATCATTAGCATATAGAAATGCTACTGATTTTTGTTCTTAAATTCAGAATATTTGTTGAATTTAAAAACATAGAGCTCTAACAGTTGTATGTTTTAAAATAGATTCTGGCCCTGGCCGGTTTGGCTCAGCGGTTAGAGCGTCAACCTTCGGACTAAGGGGTCCTGGGTTGGATTCCAGTCAAGGGCACATGCCCAGGTTGTGGACTCGATCCCCAGTAGGGGGCATGCAAGAGGCAGCCGATCAATGATTCACTCTCATTGATGTTTCTATCTCTCTCTCCCTCTCCCTTCCTCTCTGAAAAAATCAATAAAAATATATTAAAAAATAAATAAATAAAATAAAATAGATTCTGGCCCTGGCTGGTTTGGCTCAGTTGGTTGGGCGTTGTCCTGTACACCAAAAGGTTGGGGCTAGTTCCATTCCTGGTCAGGGCACATGCCTGGGATGTGGGCTGGATCCCCTGTTTGAGGCATGCAGGAGGCAGCAGATCAATGTTCCACTCTGACATCAATGTTTCTCCTTCTCTGTCCCCTTTCCTTCCTCTCTCTCTAAAAATTAATTAAAATATAAAAAAATAGTTTCTGTAGTATTTAGTACATATAAGGTCACGCTGTCAATATAAAAAATGTCCAAACCTGTAGAGAATTTTTATGAGTTTATTTGAGCTTAACTGACAGTTTCTGGGAAGCCAGATCTCAAAAGCTCTGCAGAATGGCAGGTTGCAGCTTCTTTTCTGCATGTAAAATTAAGGAGGGAATTTAAGGAAGATTATAAAAAGGTGTGAGAAAGCAAGGCAGGTCATCTTGTGAAAAAAACAAGCAAGGCTTCCATATCTTTTTCAAGTCTTCCTTTCTTTTGTCCATAACGTTTCCTTTCTCCATTTTGTGGTTCAAGATACATCTCAGGAGTCATTACCTCTCAGAGGCTTCCCATAACATCCCTGCTTGAATGAGAGGTCTCCACCTCATTCTTCCTTAAAACATCATGTTGCAGCTCACTGACCACTTGCTTGTCTCCTTTGTTCCCTCCTTGTCTGTGAGTTCTTTGCGGGCCATAGCTATGTTGTTGTTGTTTTTAAAAAACTCCCTATTCCTGAGCTGGCATAGTACTTAACACCAGTTGGGCTTAGAGTAAATATTTGCTGTTAACAGATGGAATAGGTTATGCCCAGCTGGCGTGACTCGGTGGCTGAGCGTTGACCTATGGACCAGGGGGTTACAGTTTGATTCCTAGTCAGTGCACATGCCTGGGTTGCGGGCTTGATCCCCAATGTGGGGAGTGCAGGAGGCAGCTGATTAATGATTCTCTGTCATCATTGATGTTTCTATCTCTCTCTCCCTCTCCCTTCCTCTCTGAAATCAATAATAAAATATATATTTTAAAAAATGGTATAGCTTATAGTAACTCAACTCCGAACCTGGCTTTCCCCAGCTAGGACTACAAAAACAAACAAACACAGAAACAAAACAAAGAGGAAAACACCCAAAGCCTTTGTATGTTAATTTGCAAACCACATACTTCTTCAGGATGCTTTTCATTATTTAAAATCATTTATAGAAATAAAGTCAGAGAACATATTTCTCAAAGAGTAACTTCAGAATGATCTCTCTTTCTTGGTGACTGCAGAAGATGGGCACCTGAACTCTTCCAAATACCAAAATTGCTTTCACAAAAATAAAGAATTAAAAAAATAGCCCTGGCCAGTGTTGC